TCATGGAGGACGATATTAGTGTGGACGATGACAACACCGAACCAATTTCTGGTGCTCTAGAGGATCCTGCATTGCTAATTAGCTTCCGTAACCATGTTGATGCCGTTATTTGGAAGAAAAAGGTATTTTTTGAATTTCTCAACAATAAACTAATTATATGTACTATATGCTTCAAATTATTTATATTTTCATGTGAAATACAGGAATGGGGACCTCTTAAATGTTTGAATCGTTCTCGAAAGCTTGTCGAGTGGCCATAGATGTCACCAACATTCGAAAATGCTAGATGGCGACATTTGGTTGAGGAATCTGGTCTTAATGTCCTTATTGATCACACATATCGACATGGCAATAGAGTGGCAATATCTGCCTTCGTTGAAAGATGGCATCCAGAGACAAATATATTTCACATGCCAGACGGTGAGATAACTGTCACGTTGGATGATGTACGGACCATACTTGGCATTCCAGTCACTGGTAGGGATTTGTCATGTCCTAAGTTAACAAGATACGAGGCTGTTGAACTAGTGAGTGCTACTTTGGGAGTGCCAGTGAATGATGCATTTGTAGAATTAGTTCAATCTCGTGGGCAATCCGTGAAGCTAGAGTGGTTGAGAATCAGATTTCATGAAGTTAAAGATACAGATGATGCAAATTTCATAGAATATGCAGCGAAAACTTACTTGCTATATTTATTAGGTTGTACCCTCTTCGCTGATAAGAGTGGGACTCGAGTACCCATTGCTTACCTGCACATGTTGACTGACATTGATGCTATTAGCTCATATGCATAGGGAGCTACAGCTTTGGCATTCTTGTATAGACAGACAATTAGGACTTGAACAACCTCGTGTACCCATTGCTTACCCTCTTCGCAGATTGCTGGGTACTTGAAACTATTGGAAGCATGGATTTATAAGCATTTTCGCTTAGGAAGGCCTCATCCCAATTTGTCCTATTCTGATGAACAACCTCGTGTCTGTCGTTAGAGTCCACAGAGAGATAGGGGTTTTACAGAAGACCACTTGCAGACATTACGAGAGCAGCTTGACATGTTACGTGCTAATGAGGTTAGGCATTTTATAATAGTGTTATATTGTAAAAAAAATAAGATTTCATAACTAAAATTATGCATTGCCTATTTATAGATCGAGTTGGATCCATACCGTTTATGTAGGACACACCATCCACTTCATGAGGTTGCATAGTATATTGGATGTTTGAAATACTTTGATATTGTTGAACCCTATCACCCCAATAATGTTTTGCGACAGTTTGGTAGGGTCTAAACCATCCCACCAGCACCATTATCTCCGGTTTGAGCTACACGAGGCAGTAAATCAGGACAGGACAGAATCATGTATCAATACCATGACACGATATGGGTGTAATGGGAGAATCATGTGTTGTCCATTAACGCTTGTAGTGTGCCTGTACAGCAGTGCCCATCTAAATGTGTACGGGGATACCGTGAGTGGTATGCTCGTGTTTTGCACCGGGTTGCTCAAAATCCTACGCAGCATTCTCAATTTGATCCACGTGTTCAACGTCCCAAGAATGATATTACTATGGATCCTGAGTGGGTAAGCAAATTGTGAATTAACTTATTTCACTTTTAAGTGGTTCACCATAAATCAAACACTAAGTACGATTTTTATCAATTTTTTTGCAGTGTAATCATGGTGCTTTCAATGTTGGTGCTGCAATCCATAGGCGCGGTCGTGATGAGTATGTCTTGCACCTTGACATGCTGTATGAAACCATTGGTCGGATGTTGCAAGTTCTTGATAGACAGAGTTTGGGATCTACATCGACACGTACAGAGCGTCAAGTCTACTATCGTAAACGTCGTAGGATGGACCATACATGAGCATTGGGATCTAGTTTTTTTTTTTTTTCTAATTTTATCCATGTGTGAAATTACTTTTAAGGACAAAACACTAAAATTAAATATATTTGATTACCTCTTTACACCCCTTGGTCTTCAATCCCTACTCATTTTTTTCATTTCTCAACTTTTCTTTTCTCTTATACATCGTTTTTGAAAAAGTGAGAATCATAGTATTTTGATCATCAAAGAAAGCAATGGATGAAGAAACGATGATGAAGAACCATAAAAAAAGTGAAATGGTGAGTTTTTTTATTTGTTTGGCAGGTTTTTGCTTCAATTTTCTAGACTGGTCTTCGACTTTTGTTCGGTATTTTGAAATCGAACAAAATAACATAGTATGATATCAAACTGTCGAACAAAAAATATAAGATATCCAACTGCCGAATAAAAGATACATTTCTAGTAATATAAAGCCGGACTTTTTAAATTTGTTCGGCAACTCATTGCCATGTATGTTCAATTTCTTTTTCTTTTTTTTTTGCTTTGAAGGATTATACTTATACTCATTGCAACAACATAAGTACTGCATTATTAGTGGACTCTAGTCATCAATTCATTACAGACGAGGTTTGTTAAGTTTTTTAATGAACACGATTTTTCTTATTTTCAATTGGTATTGAGTTCTATTATAATTTGACGTATAAATGTATTTATTATGTTTAGATTTTTAGTAGTCATCAAGCATTAATTAAATAGGTTCTGACATTGGGAGGAAGATTGGATTTGCCATTATTGTAAAGACATCAAATGCGGGAGGTAATGGCAGAAAACCAAGACTTACCATTGCTTGTGAAAGAAGTGGTTACTATAGAGATAACAGGAATATCAAGGGGGAACGATTAAGGTTGATAGGTTCTAAAAGGTGTAGATGTCCATTTCTATTAAGGAGGAAAAAATTACCTACAAATGACGAGTGAATGTTGCATGTCTTATGCAGAGTGCACAATCATCCGTCTGTTGATCATCTTGAAGGGTACCCATTTGCTGGCAGATTATCTAAGGAGGAAACATCCTTATTAGTTGACATGTCAAAGAGTATGGTGCGACCAAAAAAGATATTGGTTACATTGAAACAAAGGGATGCCTTTAATGCGACAACAATGAAGACAATCTACAATGCACGTCATCGACATCGAGTAGTACAGAGGGCGGGAAGATCACAGATGCAACAACTATTGGGGCAATTGTTGATTCAAAATTATGTTGAGTGGCATCGATGTGATGATAGAGAGATGGTGACTAACTTGTTTTGGGCACACATGGTTGGTTTGAAGTTGTTACGTGCATTTCCACATGTGTTGATTATGGATTGCACATACAAGACTAATAGGTATCGACTCCCTCTCTTAGAGATTGTTGGGGTAACATCAACGAACTTGACATTTTCAGTTCCTTTTGCTTATCTAGGTCACGAATGGGAGGACAACTATACATGGGCTTTAGGCGTATTGCGTATTGTTATAGAGAATACTGCTTTTCCAAAAGTCATTATTACAGATAGAGGGTTGGTTTTGACGAAAGGCATATCAAAAGTTCTACCTATGGCCACTAATCTTTTATGTAGATGGCATATTAGCAAGAATGTTCTGATGAAGTGCAGGAAGGTTTTTGAGACGAAAGATAAATAGGATAAGTTCATGCATAGTTTGAGTGCTTTGGTATTGGTTAGAATAGAAAGAGAATTCAATGAACAATTTTCCAATCTGAAGACCGAATTTAGTATGTATCCTCAAGCTATTAAGTATGTTACTACCAATTGGTTAGAGCCATACAAGGAAAAATTTGTTGTAACTTGGATAGACAATATCATGCATTTCGGAAATACTACTACAAACAGGTAAATTATGGTCCTTACATTTATAAATTGCTATAATTTTTTGATTTTTATATTAAATACCAAAATATACATACTTGTAGGGTAGAGAGTTCTTATGCTAAATTGAAGAGGCAACTTGGATCAAGTCAAGGTAGTTTTGAGACATCTTAGACCAAAATACACAATTTGTTAGAGTTGCAGCATACAGACATTAAAGCCTTATTTCAGCAGAATTTGATTATAGTCCAACACAACTACACACCTACTGAGTTCACTGAGTTATGTGGTTTTATTTCAATTTTTTGTTTGGACAAAATATTGGTAGAGTCAAAGAGATCAAATAGTGTGGGAATAGATGTTGCTGCATGTAGCTGCATTTTGCGACGTACACATGGGTCGCCATGTGCACATGAAATGACTGAGTATTTTCAACAAGGTCGACTGATTCCCCTCCTGTGCATAAATCCTCATTGGAGGAAGTAGGGGTGGGCAACGGTTTATCCGATCCACAAAAACCGTCCAACCCGCCCAATCCACATACAAATGGGCGGTTTCGCAAATACAATGCAGGTGGATGCGCTTTAAAATATGACATATTTGCGGGTTTCGGGTTTAACCCGCACCCACAAGAAATCGCTCGCACTTTTATTTATTTATTTTTATTTTTTTATCTTTACCGTTGATTTCATTCATATATCCCACCTAGATATTTTTGCCGAAAACAAAACACCCTTTATTCTTTAAACTTACTCTAGCATTACATTTGCTAATAGTATTATATCAATTGAAACTAAATAAATACTGATCATATTATTATTGTTACATAATTGAACTTGTCCTAGATGAAGTGTGATTTGGAATTTTAAATTCCTTAATGAACATGCAGTTATGGTTTAGGATTTTGAAATATGTACTTGTGTTAGTTTATGATTTGATTTAAGATTTTAAATGATTTGTTTTTGTTATGAATTGATTTTGTTGTGTTTTTAATTTTATAAGTTTTAATTCATTAATTATTAATGTCGGAGCATTTTAGAAAATGGGGAGAAAAGGGCCCAAAATAAATATTTACAAAATGGTAAAAAAATAAGGCTCAAAAATAAATTTTTGAAGAAAAAAGTCCAATCCGCAAACCGCCCGCACATCCGCAAACCCTATCCGCACAAACCACAAACCGCATTACGAGCGGTTGTGGGTTGTCTTTTCTCTAAACCGCATAGATGCGGGTGGGTCCAAACCGATCCGCAAACCGTCCAAATCCGAACCGCGAACACCCATAGGAAGAAGTTAGATATGCTTCCAGTTTCAGAAAGTCCTTTTGTGGAGTTAGATTGCAAAACAGAGACTGGTTTTTTTATTGAGAAATTCCAAAAGAATGACGAAACGCAACAAGTGATCCTTCTGAGAAAGTTAAGGGAGTTAATTAGTCCAGACAGTACATTTTTTATGGAACCTGAACTCAAGACTGACACGCGAGGTAGGGGCCGAGGTCGTGGTCAATTCAAAATCGACACATCTACTAAATGTGAGTCATCTGTGTTTGAGTTTGTACTATCTAGGGAATATAGTTATTCACAAGGTGTTACCATCTCAACTACACCAGTTTGTAAGCCACTGCAACGGAAGAAGGCAAAAAATGATAATGTATGTAATTACATAAAACTTGTAACTATGTACAAAATCTATTTTAATAGTTGTTCAGCCTCATTTCAATTATTTCATATATCCATTGTTGTATATTTGTGATGTAGGTCTGTATGACGAAGTCAACAAATCATATCTCTTACTTCGAACAATTTTTGAAAAAGTTAAGACCATATATCCGTCATATAAAAGATGTATAAGTAGATGGCAATTGTGGTTTTAGGGTAATAGTTGGATTAATTGGTATAGATGAAGATGATTGGCAACAAGTTAGGCGCAACTTGTTGACTGAGTTGCATTCGAATGTAGTGTACTACGTGCAACTGTTTGGTTCACAAGAAAGGGTTGATGACCTTAACTCTATCTTATCCTACTTCAAACCTGGCCCTGGATTTAATCATTGGATGACTATGCCAGACATGGACCATTTGATAGCATCATACTATCGAGTCGTTCTTTATCATTTATCCATGCAACAATGCTTAACATTTCTACCACTTAGACGAGTACCGATTACAACACATGATCGAAGAGATATCTGCATAGGATTTGTTAATGGAAACCGTTTTGTGCAAGTAACTACCAAGCCTACTTAGATCATTACCATGTCTTATTTTGTAATTCTGCTTATTGATTTCTTTGTTATAGGTTCGTCTGCAACCTGGTCATCCAGTACCTCCGATAGCAAATAATTGGATTCATTTTCATCACCCGTGTGTTAGTGGATGGAAGAAAGCATATACTATCCGTATTCATCAATTCCGTACTCTTATTAGCCCTGACGTAATAACTGCTGAAACAATTGATATAGACAAATTGTGATAACATGTTTGATTGATGGACGCAAATAATGATAGATTTTATGAATGTTTTTATGGGTATTCGTATACTTATTTTTTTATGAAACTTTTATGGATACTTTTTATGTATGATTTTATACATGCGTGTTTGATTTATGAATATTTTTTTATCGAATTGGATTAATTCAAATTTGTTAACATTGTATTACCGAACAGGCTCAAATTATCGTTTGGAACAAAGTGGCTCTGTAAATGTATAGCAACAAAACGCTGGACAAATCTATTTTTTCCAGCAACATAACACCGAAAAATTGTAATTTCTCTAGTACCGTGTGACCGAACAAACACTTCACAGTGGGCTCCACTGACTTTGTTGTGAAACAAATTGAAATTATTCAATTGCATGGCAACATAACGTTAGGAAAAAATAGTTTTTCTGGTAACATGACACTGGAGTAATTGAAATTCATTAGCATTTTATTACTGAACAGGCCCGACACAAATTGTTACCACATTATTTGGAAGGAAGTGGCTCTGTAAATATATAGGAACAAAAGGCTGGACAAACCAATTCATTTTGGCTTTATAACACAGAAGTTTTGAAAGTTGTTTCGCATTGTGTGACCGAACAAGCACTTCAATGTGGGCTCCACTGGCTTTGTTGTGAAGCAAACTGAAATTATCTAATTGAACGGTAACATAATGCTGGAGAAAAAAATTGTATCTAGTAACATAGCACTGGAGTAATTCAAATGAATTAGCATTGTATTACCGAACAAGCCCAGTACAAATTAAACAAACATTGTTTAGAAGAAAGTGGCTCTGTAAATGTATAGCAACAAAATGCTAGAAGTATATATTGTTTCCGGCATCTGAACACCGGAAAAGTATGGGTGTAAAGATGGGTTTTCAAGATTTTTTTACCTTAGGGTTTGTCTTGGTAATATATTGAGTGTAATGAGAATCTAATATTTTTTCTAGTGGTGTAATGAGATGGAAGGTGTAAAGAGGTAAAAGAGTGGTGTAAGTAGAACCACCCAATTACAAATTGATTCTTCATATTTGATTAAAGTATGAATTATCTTTTATAATTTTAAAAATTATATTTCATTCTTGATGTTTTTAATTTTATAATAAATTATTTTTTTATTAATAAATTATGAAATCAATTAATAATTTTTAATGATATTAGAAATATTTTTTAATTAATGATTTAAGTAATTTTATTATCGTAGAGTAGAGCAATCATTAATTTATTTTTTTAGTTAATTCTGTTAAATAAAAAATTTTGACAAAAAAATATTTATAATTTTTCAAATCACAAGAGGCAATTTATATTTTAAGCAAAGGTGTATTTATAATTTACCCATAAAATTTACTTTAGGGTAATTTCTTATTCTAATAAAGATTTATTAGCCACAAATTGTTTGCAACTTAAATAAATAATAATAAATAATAATAATAAAATTAATATTATAATATATACTTAACTTCCCGTAAACTCAAAATTATAAATTCAAGTCTTGCTCACTTTAATTGAAACTTTCACTTAACAAATTGCGTAGATATATTGATGGATATAGAAGAGGTTAGGATTGTGAGATAGAATGGTATAGGATTATCAAGTTTCTCATAATATTAAATGTAAAAAACAGTATTTTATTCACAAATTTATAAAAATAACTAAAAGTCACTTTTTATTTAATTTAATAATTAGTGGTGTACTCGTGTTACGCATGGTTTAAATAAATAATTAAATTTTAATTTTAAAATTAAATAACAATATAAAATTTGTTTGACATGTATAGGAAAACTAATTTAGAATCAATTAAATTTTAACTATTCTTACTGGAGGTTTTATTTATGGAATTAATTGTATATTCTAAGTTTTTAATAAGAAATAAATATCATAGTTTAATTGATAGAAATGAAAAGAGAGAGAGAGAGAGAACATTTATGATAAAATAAAACTACATTATGTTCTATAAGTTTTTCAATTTTAGTTTATCCCATGTCAAAGTTCACTGAATTGTATTAAATCATATTGCATAAAAGTATATTTTTCCTTATAATTTTCATGTAAGAATGAACAATAGTTGGATTGAGTTATTAGAGTTGAGCTAGACATAATATAGAATCTAATCAAATTGATCTTTGCACTAATTTTGCTCTAATTTAATCATTAAAACATTATCTATGGGATGTTCGATTACCTAATTCAGTACTTAGAATTAAATTTATTAATTGATAATCAATTAAACTCATTTGATAACTATAATTTATATCACTTAAAATTTTAATTACCTTTTAAAATATACACTAAAACTTAAAATAAAATAAAAAATTAAGTCCTATGAAATTTATTTAATTCTAATTGAATTTATAAATATTAAATATACATATTGATATATACTGTTATAAACTCACTATCACCATCACATTTACCACCATCATGCCACCGCCACCACTTCTACCACCGCCACCGCTACCACCACCGCCACCGCCGTGCCACTGCCACCGTCACCACTACAACTACCATTACCATCACGTTGCCGCCACTACCACCACTGCCACTACCAATATCACCTTCATCACCATTGTTATTATTGTCATAAGTACCACTATCATTTTACTACTATTACCATCGCTACTGCCACGACCACCACCATCAACGCTACACCACCACCACCATGTCACCGCTATTGCTACCACTACCACTACCACTACCACCGCCACCACCACTATCATACCATCACCACCATCAACGCTACCACCACCACGACCACCACCATGTCACCACCACAACTACCACCACCATAACATGAAATATATAATTTAAAAAAAAATAAATATTAAATTTGATCTTATACATATCAAACAATTTAATTTTAGTTCAGCACTTAAATTTTTATCAAATAATTTTCAACTTAAAAAAAAAATCAACATTCAAGTTTCAATACTTTAATTTTTAGTTTTCAATTTTATCAAACACTACCTTAGTCTATGCCTAACTCATGAACCACTTAATCCATTTATTTATTTAGTTATTAAATTAACAAATACACATGTGCTAGTATTTGATTTTTATAATAAAATGGGTTAATTACACCAAAACCCTATCAACTATTAACAAATTTTACTTTATCTTCCCTCATCAATGAATTTGTTCATATTGATCTCCTTAACTATAAAAATATAACATTTTCACCCTCTCCAAACCACCTCCAAAAGGAGTGTATTTGTATAATTTTCATAATTGAGGAAGTCAATATGTATAGAGTCATAGATGAGTGAGAGAAAGCAATATTCATTCATAATTGAGGGAGTCTTGGTGCAATTAACCCTAGCAAAAATAAAAATATATATATACATGTATATGCATATTTATTAAAAAAAATTAAACTTGGGCCAAAAATTATATATTTATATTTAAAATTATTGCCAATTAAAACTATCTAATATTGGGTCGCCTTAAAATATAGGCCTTATTCTAACCCTACTTTGCACTTGATCGAAAAAATTGATTTTAGTAAAAACAATTGATAATAATCAATTTAAATTTTATGTTTGAACTTATATCCTAGTTTTTGAGGCTATGATGGGTATGAATTAACTTGAGAGTGTTAGTATTGGATTAAACACAAAAGTAATTTAGAAGCTGAATTTGAATCAATTTTTATATAAATTATCTAAATTTAGAAAATTGTATTGGCATAAAAAAACTATCCAATGCTGGGTTGACTTAAAAAATGTGCATTATTCTACCTTGGACCAACCTAAAAATCTGATTGTTCAATTAGTAAAAATAATTGGTGATAATAAATTAAAGGGGAATTTTTTTTAAGGTCCCTGGTATTAAGATTTTACAGCATAAAGGACACTCAATATTTTCATAATGTCTAAGGTCCCTCAAGTTGATCCAAAGAAAATTGATCCAGAGAAAATTAGTCCAGAAAAATTTCTCTCCAGAGAAATTCTGGAAGTTTCTCTGGACTTCGGAATTTTTCTCCAGAGAAATTCTGGAAATTTCTCTGGATTTCGGAATTTCTCTCCAAAGAAATTCTAGATTTATCTCTAGAGAAATATTGAATTTCTCTGATTTCGGGATTTCTTTGACTTCGGAATGTGTTTTAACAAAATTTCTCTAACTTCGAAATTTATCCAATGTGTTTTCATAATGTGTTTTAACCAAATTTCTCTAACTTCCGAATTTATCTTCAAAGAAATTTTGAATTTATCTCCAGAGAAATTTTGAATTGCTCTGGAACTGATATTGATGCTTTATGGCAGGGTGGGAAAATACAAAGGCTGAATGCTTGTATGATGATGGGGAGAATCAAGTAAAACAAGAACAAAGCATTGTAGATTCGTCCATATTCAGGAGCTTCGGGGATTCGCAAATCCAACAAAACACGGTTCCATGACATAGAGGTTGACGATGGAAATAAGATAAATGACAAACTCTATGCTAAAAAATCTTAATACCAGGGACCAATTCAGAGAAAATTTCAATTCAAATCAGAGAATTTCTCTGGACCAACCCAGAGAAATTTCAGTTCAAAGGATGTTTTCCTTTGATTTTGTATAAAATGCGCAAGTAATGCAACTATGGATTCATAGTTTCTTGGATGCCCATACCTGAGTTTGTTCTCCTTCGTTACATATAGTTTAACATGAAAAGACGACAAAGTTTTCTCTAAGTTTATTGAATGTTTCTGATTGGTTTCTATGCTCTTACAGTTTCAACTAGAAGATGCAATTGAGAGGGAAGACTTCCAGGAAGCGGCAAAATTGAAAACAGCTATTGCAGAAACAACATCAAAAGACAGTGTTGCTGAAATAATGTTTCAATTGAAGGTTTGATAATTTGTTATCATCAATAAGTACGATTGCGCATGCAAAAACTTCGGCTCTTATTCTAGTCTCTCTGTTTCCTTTTTCAGCATGCAATAGATGAAGAGCGTTATCATGATGCTTCACAATTGAGCAGATGTACAGGAAGTGGGCTGGTAACTCTTTTAG